CCTGAAACAAGGTTGTAGGAGAGGGGACGTGTCTAATGCTTGGATCTAAGCGTGGTCATTACCTGAAAAGGCTTTCTTTTTGTTATTTTTCTGCTATCTCGCTTTCAAGCATGATGGATGAACGAGGTGGGCAGTCATTTGCCGGACCTGAGCGTCGCTGGCATCTCCCTCTCTGATCTGAGCCTGGCCCGGGACATTGTCAAAGATTATAAGTTGCTTTGATGAATGAGGGAACTTTTGCCGCTTTGTTTCTCGACCCAGCGGTGACTTTCTGTGTCTGCCCTCTTGTCTAGAAACAAGGCTGGGGGTCAGGAGAGAAACGCTGTCTGGCAACATAATAAATGGCTGAGAAGATGGGCTGTGAAGGTAGAGAGGTTTGTGGCCGCTGCTGTGCACCAGAAGGCACTCACAGTACTTTGCATCAATCCTTAATGCTTGAGCTGCTTGTCTACCTCAAGTAAGTTTGACAAAGTGATTTACAGAAAAAGTTTAGAGGCTCTAAACCAGTTCAATTTTCATCAGTATGAAGATGTGACAGTTTTAATTCTGTCGCCTGTAAATAAACCTGCCTCAGGACATGCAGCATTGTGGTAGCTCTCTCCACTAGGTGGCGATGTTGCTCTTGAAGTGTTGCATGATAAAACACTCTCCCAAAAAGATTCAGCAAAGGAAAAAAAATCAGTTTCCACTTAAAATGTTGTGTTTATTTGTCCCTGAGAGAATTTAGGTTCACTGAATTGTTCATTATAAATAAGTATCCGAGTCAATTAGGTGTATGCGCCTCATGACGAGCACTGTATTTGCATGAGAGTGTAGAGCGTGTGCTTCCTCCAGAGTCTCCGTTTGCTCTCGGCTACATGAGTGAAGAGCAGCACTGAGTCCGTGCACTGATGTCTTCAAGTGAAGCCACAGAAATAAATGAATCATCGGCCACAGGGCTCATCTCATACAGATGCATGCGCTGAAATCTAAAACACGTTCTCCATTAATTTAGATTTATAAATACTTCAATAATACTGAGGTCTCATGTGTTCTGCAGGTATATGTTGCAGATAAGGTGATGATGAGGCAACCATGAAGAATCCTGATCTGCTCTGGTCCATTTCATTTGATGTTTTTAAGGCACACATCAAACGTGCTCTGCAGCCTATATACAGCCTGGCAGAGATTGAAAAGGTAGAGCCTTGCTGATATTCTCCAGAGTTTGGCATCAAACCCTAACCTAAACATACCCTGATTACAATATAAAGCTATGATGTCATAGTAAACATGGCTGGGAATGATATAACGGATGGTTGCTGAATTATTTGGCTTTAGAACAGACAATTTTTCCCAAACAGCAGGTCACAATGTAAAGATCTTAAACATGGACACTTTGCATTTCCATCTCTGTTCTAAGAATGTGAAATCTTAAATATAGAAAATATTTTTCAAAAGAGTTTACAGTGTCAGATCTGTAATGGTTGTCACAATTTGTTTCTTATCTATGAGAAAATATTAAATCATTAACATATAGTGTGTTTGTAATAACGTGTGAGGACAATTTCTGTTTGCAGAGTTGCGTTCAGGAACATCAGCTTGTGTTTTATTTATTATCTGATGGACGATGATTTGATTTAAGGGCAAGAATTTTTAATAGTGATGATTAAAACAAAACGAAATCATTCAGATAGACTGTCTGGTGCAAGAGGAGGTTGTTTGCTACAAATGAGCAAAGAAAATAAAACTCATCATAATTCACACAAAGGAATGGATGTGTCAAGTGCAACAAATAATACCAAGGTGACCTTCGTCTGATGAAATCTTTATGAAATGAAATGCATGTGTGTGCTGTCAAGCAATTGATTCAGATTGATTCAAATGGTTTTTCTGAAATACACATATTTACTGTCTTGGTGGATTGAGAAAATTGCCACTTGTATATCTTTACATACGAAGTCACATGAAGAGATGCTTTATAGGTTTTTTTAAACCTTGGACTGGGCCATGTAAGTTGTTTTTCTCTACTTACTCTCTATATGTAAAGCTAAGCTAACCAGCCTCCAAGGTGAATCTCATATATTAAACAAATGAACTATTGAGTGGTATTGATCTTCTTTAACCCTCAAAATCAGATGAACACAATCAAGGTGACCTTAAAAATCACCACACACATCCCACATCTGAAAACCCTGAGGACTTCTTTAGCGATAAACAAACATTAGATACAGAAATGGGTAAATATAATTGTTGCATATTCATGTTAAACAAAATATAGAGGATAAATAGGAATAATGAGTTTTCAGAATCTTTGTGTAATTGTTATTAAGAACATCAGTCATTGGAAAGTCAAAAAGCATCGTCAAAAGTAAAAAACATGTATTTCCTTTTTTTGTGGAAACGAGACAGTGTGAATTTGCAATGGCAGGACCGTCTGCCTCTTATCATCATCACTGTAACCGTTGAAATTCAAGTGTACTTTTCCTCCGACGGCAGCACTGCACTTATTCTGCACGAAGTTGCTGAAAATGACATAGAACAGCTGCACACACTGTGTGGGATAAAAGTAGTGGTCTTTAAATGATTTGTGCCATTGTCTCGTAATCCATCCATCAATCTGATTCTAAAAAACGTGTGCACTGAGTATACTGCACTATGGTATTTGTCGTACTTGTTCCCAGAGCCAAGAAAGCTGTCACTGCTCTGGTTCAACCAAGCAATACAATTTTCCTTTTGGGGCTGACGCTACTAACCACATCATTATAGGTTACTATTCAACCTGATAAATACATATCATAAAATACGTGTACATGGGTAACTACATATCATTTAACCTTTCTGTCGTTCTATCGTTGACATGGCACGTTCACCTGTAACATCACAGTGTTGCTGTGCTGCTGCTGCAGACAACAGAAGATACCCAGGGTTGTTTGGGCCTCAGGATGGTGATATTGTTTGGCTGCTGGTCTTTGGGTTCAGCAGTTTGTAATATGGTAATTTTTATGTGGTCATTTATTATCTGGATGAATCTTATATTTTGTGGGGGTGTTTTTGACACTTGCCCTTTCCTGGTATAACACTATCAGGTCAATATTACCCTTGATCATTAATTTGAGACATGATTCTTCAAGTTAAAAGATAAACGGTCTCCTGTGAAATTAGCTGTGGTTATAGGAACATAGCAAAGCCATTAATCCAACTATTTCTTTAGTTCAGCTGTTCAGAATTTAACAGAAGAAAAATCTAATCTAACTGGCAGGTTGTGATGAAATTGAATTAGCACACTGTGTGTAGGATGAGAGGAGATGAAATATAATTGGTTTCATCTAACAGCTGTTATTAAAACTGAAGCTAATTTGGAGGCTGTCAGGGTTTTAGACTTAACTCATAGTATTTCAGGTCATTTACCAAATGTTTTAACTGAATCTCTCATTAAAGATAAATATGATACATTTATTAATAATAATAATAATTTAAAGATAAAAAATAATATGTTTGACAGTTATGGGATGAAATTCAAAAAACTTTCTTGTATACAATTGGTTATTCTGTGCTACACACATGTGGACTTTTCTCATCACAAACATACAATTAAGTCACTTTTTTTTTAGAGACAATATAATGTGATATGTAATGTTAATCAGAACATATGATAAAAGTATCCCGTTCCAAAAGGAGTCAATATTTGAATATGTGATATTGAACTAATATCTAGTATAACATTTCAACAGTGGGATATGTTCAGGGCAGCGTTGCAAATGAGGAAAGGGATGTTTTTGAGGGATCAGATGCAAATGGTTTCTAAGTGGTGTTTCTGTCGACCACACGATCATAAAAAACGAGCCACTATCTCTGACTGTCATCTACAAACATAACAGATCTATTGTACAGCGTTATCACCCATCCTGCTTTACTGCTCTGCTTGTTTCTTAACATGCTCTAACAAACTGGACAAAGCAAACATGCATAACCCACACTGATGCCAAGATAATAAGTCTTTCCCCATCCAACCTCTATGACCTCAATTCAAAGGCCATTACCCGCATTAGAACCTCAAATGGCACATGGCCTCCCTCACTCACTCATCTGCCACTTAAAAATAATGCCATCAGGACACTGATACAGGTCAATAAGGTGCAACAGCTGCCCGCATCAGAAATAGCCTGGCACCTGCAGCCAAAGCAGCACTAAATAAGACATGCTGCTGCTAATCCAGCTCTCTAACTGCCAGTCAGTGTTTCATGTTAATGTCATGCCCTTCATTTTTACTGTTGCTGTTCTTATTGTCTAATGATGTGTACTGTTCCTTATAGGTGTTGGTCTGTTGTGTGCTTCATGGCATGTTGTTTGTATCTAACTAGCCTACTTCAACTCTCAAATAGATAATGTAAAAACAACAGTGAGGTGAGAACATTTTGTCTTATGTTCTGTGGTGTTTGTGTAGCTTCTTGTAAAATGCATATTAAAAGACTGTGTGACAAATTGTAATAAAACACTTCTCATTGGCTAAAAGTTATTTGTAAAAGCTAATGTCAGAAACTAATAATACTATTATACATATTGTGAATAAATTACAATACTGTGCAAACATGTTCATTGCATGATGTAAATAGTGTAAATATTGTAAAGTAAAAATATTTTTACAGTCACAAAACAGTACAAAATATTCAATAATATGTAGATATTGTAAAATGCAATATTGTACAACATTGTACATTTCATCATTGTACAAAATTGTGAATTACTATATTGTAAATTATTTATTTTTCAATTTAAAAAATTGTAGATGTTATAAATTGTTTGAATCAAAATAACTTCTATAGCCAATTCAAATCAATATTTCAGAATTCTGGGGGGACGATCTGAAACGAGTTTGTCTTGGTCCTCTCACCTGCTGAGCTCGTGTTGTTTACCTCCTCCCTGCTGCTGACACGCGGGAGAGGGGCGGGGGGTGAGGATGAATGGATGGATGGAGGGAGGGAGGGAGGGGAGGGGAGGGGAGGAGGAGGAGGGGTGGGGAGGTGGATTAACGCAGCGTCGTGTCCAGTTTTAGACTCCACAACAAACAGTGAGTGATTGAGAGAAACCTCGTCCAGCACCTGCTCGTCCTCCTCGGTCAGTGTCAGCATCTCTGCGCGCTCTGCCTCCAGCCCTGCACAGCCCCCGGCCATCCAACATGTCTCTGTCCGGCTCACAGACACCAGAGGACGGACTCTACGGTGAGTGATGGGGCTAGACGGACCGGCTCTCTCTTTTCCTGCTTATTTATTCATGTATTTAGTCGCTTTAGGACGCAGGGTGACCTCACATGTATCAAGCAGGGTGATTAAAGCTGCCTGCTGTGTGCGCACACACAGATTCACAGTCTAATTTCAGAGTGCAAATGTCAACAGTCTGGACAAACAACGGCAGCTATGACCCTGGATCAGTGAGTTTCCAGGTGTCATGTGCAGATGTTCACCTACAGCTGCACACATGGTTCTCACAGTGAGAGACTGAGAGGAAAGTTTGACAGGATGTTACAGAGAGAAGATGAGGAAGAAGAAGAAGAAGAAGAAGAGGCAGTTTTATATTCGTCATTGTTGTTGCCACTGACACCGTCATTGTGTAAACGGATTCCCTGACTCACCTGTTTGTATCTCTGTAAACCAATTAAGCTGTGGAGATTTCCTGCAGCTTATAGCTTCACCGTGCATGTGTGCACAGAAGATGCTGGGCCCCACATGTGGAGCAATGTGGTGGGGGAGCAGGACACTAATGGACTGTGTGAAAGTTGCTGAGGTGGGGGTTAGACGGCTCAACCAATCCTGGAGTTTTGAGGCCAATACAGCTTTTTGAACACCCTTCCCTATAATGACCTAACCCCAGTTTCAGGCTTAATATATTAATGGAACCATCATTTTTCAGAACCCAAACTGCACATCGCAAGCAAAGTTGGCATCCATGAAGTACAAATTTAAATTAAATTCCAGGAAAAGAAAATAGAAATCATTTGTCAAGTTTGTTTCTCTTTTACTGAATCACATTTTATTTTTGTCCAACCAACATCTTTTCCGCCTCAGGTTTTTAAAAGTGGAAAATGAAAAAGGGCATAAAAGATTAACAAAATATTTTCGCTTCAAACAGCAGAACATGTTGGTTTGTGATGAGCATGTATTTTACCCCCCCCCCCATACACACACACACACACACACAGCCTGATCACTTGTGTGCAGTCTCTAAACTGGGAACTGGCATTCATGACAAACATTAATCTGTAGCGCCGCAGCTCATTGAGTCTTTTAACATCCAGCTCTTGTCCACATTATATAAAGCTGATTTGGCAGTGTGGCACAGATGAATGTGCGTACCGGGGATTGCACCGCACAGAAACTGATTTAGCACCGCAGAGCGTTGCCAGATAGATAAGTCAGGCAGAGAGGCAGTTGTTATGTCATACCTTCCCTCTGTGGGAACACAACTAGGGCAATGGCACAGTCCCCCCCCAAATCAGCCTCACCCAACCTCCTCTCCTCATCCTTCATCCCCTCTTCTCTCCATCCCCATGCCCACTGTTTCCACCTCTCAAGCTGTCAGTATAATTTGCACCGTGTCCTAAACCCAGTTATGACTTGAAGATTAGAGAGATCAGACAAGAGGGGAAGGATATACAGATGAGGTGTTGATGTTTTGTAAATGTGTCAGATAGGGATACAGACATGATGAGGGAGAAACAAGGGGAGGAAAGCAGAGGGTGAATGGCTAATCTCTTAACAGAAATAACATCTTACATAAGCAGGCATGCTGTCAGCCTGAGTTAGCCCTGCTCCACTGTTTGGCTGCTGAGTGTGGGCACACCATACACACCAGCATGCATGTGTGTGCATGTGTAAATCTCTTCCTGCCCATGCACCCAATGACCCTCCATTCATGTGTCCATTCATTCATTTGCTGTGTGTGTTTTCAGAAGTCATTGATAAGAGAGAAACAGACACTTGGTCTCTGTCTCTTCTCTGTATGTTACATGCATGTGTCTTTTTATATGTGTGTGTGTGTGTGTGTGTGTGTGTGTGTGTGTGTGTGTGTGTGTGTGTGTGTGTGTGTGTGTGTGTGTGTGTGTGTGTGTGTGTGTGTGTGTGTGTGTGATTTTCACTGTCCAGCTGCATTTCCATCCAGGAATTCAACATGTCCCCGGTCTGATGTCATGTCAGGACATCCCTGGTGGTGCTGCTTGACCTATGACTCACCATATGTCAGCACACAACACAAACCTGTCTACTCCACATCCAAGACAGAGCATTTTACAAGAAGGCCTCATTTCTTAATATGGCAATGGAAACTGCAATTTAGAAAAAAATATATATATGAACTAAAATTACAGAACACAACAATAATTTAGAGACAGTTTAATGCAGGTCGATTTCATCAATAAGAGCATTTTTCATATAGAACCTATGCTGCATTCATCACACTTGAGTCAATATTGACAGTTGTATTTCTTCAGCAGATTTCATTTCTTTTTACATTTTGTCATAATTAGTTTGCTGTGACAGATCTACTCTCAGCAGTGTGTACTGTGATTAGAACAAAACAACATTGCACGCTCAATCAAAATGTAAATACACTTGTTTAAAATGTATAGATTTGTTTACTTCCCTCACACAATCACAGCTCGTCTCTGGCTCATTACAGTTGAATATATGCGTATGAAGTCCTGCTGGTTCTTGCCTTCCCTGTTTGTTCCCTGAGCGTCATCACAAACTCTCCCGCTCGTGTCGTTTACTCATCAGGCTCCTGGGTCGAGCTGGAGGAGCTGATCGCAGCCGTGAGCCGCAGGGAGAGTCCTGCAGGGCCGCAGGACAGCATCTCCTCCGCCCTGCATGGGGAGCTGGAGAGGATCCTTCTGGAGGCGCAGCTGGAGTGTGAGAGGAGTAAAGACAGGTCGGTGTGGATGCTTAGTTTATTTCCCCTGTTTTTGTTTGTTGGAATAGTAATATAGACTCATTCAGTTTGTTCCACAGTCCTCCACAGGTGGTGACTCCACGGTCTACTGGTTCCCCGAGACCCAACAGTGATCAGGACAGTGACTGTGTCACCATACAGGTATTCTTTTTCTCACACTTCATCCAAACACCACCATCTTTTTTGTAATCTACAAATTATTACTCAGTTTTCCTGCTTCACACCCTAACACCTCTTACCATTTATCTCAGCACAGTTCAAAATCCACTTGCAGAGACATGAGGCCTGCTGGAAATCTATAATTTATTTAATGGAACATTTATTTGAATTCATGAAGTAACGTATTTATTCAGCAGAAAATACAAAGCTCATTTAGACATTTTTCCCTGAAGGTTTATGAGACATATGTTCAAACTCAAGAGATAAGCTAATGTCAGCATCAGCATTCCATATTCACTCAGGTACTCCCCAGAAAAATGTGATAAGTCAGTGTGATAAGAACTAACTAAAAACCACCTTTGAGACAAACATTTCAGAAATGTACTTTGGCTTTTTAGTAAATGGTACATGTCCCATCCATTAACATGAAGGAGACAGGGTTTATAACCTATACTATCAAGATCAAGATGATTTGGCTTCACCTTTGAGAGCTGTCATGTTGTTGTTGGAGAGGGGAGTTCAGGGCCAATGAAAGTGGAAAATGAGTGAAGGGTCCTTTAATATCCAGGGAGGGTGAAGAGGAGGGGTGAATTTACCAGAGTCAAAGGGAATCGGGGAAGCCCCGAGAGTTTCAGTACGTAGAGACTTAGCTTTTATGGTTCAACCAGGACAGAGGGGATCACAGCCCAATCCAAGCATGTTAGACAGCTTTTCAAATCCTTTCATCAGGCTCCAGGGATCAGCTCCTCTGCCTCTTGGTCCAGGACGATTGGGAAAAAAACTAGTTTATCTTTTAGTGATCTCCTTCCTTCAGTTATTCTCACTTCACATGTTCTCTTCCATCAGAAATCAAAAATCAGAAATACTTTATTGATCCCAGGGGGAAATTGTGTTTGTTACATTTGCTCCAAGTAAAAGGTAGAAATTCAGCATATAAGATTAAAAATGAAATATGAAATATATTCAATATTGTGCGTTCTGTACATTGAATATTTACTGCAAATGGATATTCTTGTAATGACTTAATGGCTTTTGTTGAAATGTTCCATCCCTTGTGGCTCACAGGTGTGTTCAACTTATCATCTCATCTTTTCCTGTTGAAGTGTAAAGGGCCATTCTGTCTGTTTATTTTTTTCCTTTCTGCTACAACGTGTGTTGCAGGAGGATGGTGAGCGGCGAGTGGACACAGACTGGGTGTGGGATTGGTCCAGTAGACCTGAAAATATGCCACCAAAGTAAGACCAGCTCCGTCAAAGTCAATAGTTGCATTTTATTTTGTATTTTATGATGTTCCATAAGTTGTAAGAGTGATTGCAAAGATGTGTAATGGTTTAAAATGAACATTTTGAAAAGAAGAGGGAAGGGGTTTAGCATGGCTCTGTCCAGGATTCAAAATCCACATAGCACCTCTGGATCTCACAAATGAACATGTTGTGATAGTATGCATCATTTGTTAAAAAGTTATTTGAAAACTCAGGTCTGTTTTATTTGCAAAACATAAAAAACTGTGAATTCATTGATCAGTTTGACAGCACATTCCAATGTTGTTTCTGGCTTGTGGATTTTACCTTTGAGTTTTGAGAAACACATGAATCATCCTCCTTTTTATTTACTCTGCCACACTAGATCTTTTAATCTGTTTGACAGGTAGTGCTTCTTAATGATCCCCAGCTCCGAGAACTCTGCTCCCTCTCCTACATTCCCACTCTTCTCTCTTGTGTTCTCATTATCTCTGTTTATTTTTTTCTCCTCTTTCTATCTTCCCTCTCCCTGCACCTCTTATCTGTGGCTCCTTGTCGTCCTCTCTCTCCTTTCTCTCGCTCTCTCTCTTCAGAGAGTTTGTGTTTCAACACCCGAAGCAGCCGAGCTCCCTCAGCGTTAGGAAGACAGAGGTGATGAAGAGAGGACTCTTCTCCTCCGATGTTCTCCTCATCCTCGTTCCTTCCCTGCTGGCTTCACACCTGCTCACACTCGGCGTCGGGTGAGACATCCACACACAAAGATAGACTTGTGTTGCGTTAATTAATACATTATCCAAAGCAAATTCATTACAGCAGTGCTGCTGTTCTCTGAGTTTTAAACTTGTTGTAGGCACATGCCACATAAGCAGTTTGCAGTAAAAACGGAAGCAAATACATCAAATTCTTATTAACTTTTAAAACAGAAATAGCAGCTTCACAAGTGCAGATTCTATCGGCTGCATCTTGGTAGTGTTTGCTTCATAAGTTAGTTGAATGACTTTCAATGTTTGTCAAGTAATCAATCAAATTTTATTTTTATATTAGCTCATATTCACAACTCACAATTTGCCTCATGGGGCTTATCAAGGTGTAACATCCTCTGCCCTTTACCCTCAACTAGAGTAAGGAAAACTACAAAAACAAACTTTTAACAGGGGAAAACAAACGTAGAAACCTCGGAGAGAGAAGCAAGTATCTAACCTGAATGGAATTGACACTAAAGCTACATTTTACAGGCAAAAAGTTCAAAACAACCAGGCGACGTCACCAGTTTATGGTCAGATGTAGAGCTGAACAGATGTTCTTGTATTGCAGTATACAGTAGAGCTAGGTGGTCCTATAATGAAAATAGTCTGCTTAACTACCCGTTTGTTTTGTTTTGGCGTAACACAATCTTGGCTAATGTTATTGCTGGCTTTGCTGGAGGGTAAACTACAATGATGTTAAAATTATTTTAAGCTGTAATTGCGTCCCTGACCGTCTCCCACACACTGAGAACCACTGGATGTATTAGTCATAAACAGAACATATATAATGAAGTTAGTTAATGACCTCTTAACTACGTCTCTGTTACCATGGATGTATCACAGGAAGGGGATAATGGACTCAACGATGGAGTCATTTGACTGAAAATTACTCACCTGGCATGTAATTCAAAGATATGTGTAGCTTCAAGGTGTTCTTCTGCATTGGGAGTCCCACCTCACATGCACATTAGTGCTGCCCCCAACATGCCTGCTTGCATGTTTCTGCTCAGCCTATAGGGTTTACATCATATCCTGTATATATTAAGGTTGATTAAATGTCTTCACTTACGCTATCCAGAAATTAAGCCAAGTTATCCAGGGTAGGAACATTGCCATCTTGCACCGATGACATCATTTGGAAACAGAGTCTGAACAGTAGTGCTTAGGAGTGGAGCCACAGTAGCAAGGTCCTGTCTGTACACAAGCTCTCCAATCACAAGTCAGTCTCAGCTGTCAATCAACAGATATAAACCTCATTGGATTGAAAATGTATAATAAAAAGAATAATTTCGTTTTGTTAGCTGTTTTATGGACGTCTGTCACATAATGCTAGTCTACGGTGGAAATTATTTTAGAGCCACAAAGGATTTCTTTTGTTGCAATACCATCAGTGGCCACTGGAAGACTTAACTAGCAAGGCTGAGAGGCAGCGCCTTGTCCAGCCCTTTAAAACATCCACGTGTTTCTAGGTAGTTACATGTGCACGGTGCCTATTGTACAATTATAGTTTTTAGGAGATGTTTAAGGAAAAGTCATTATATAATAACAGCTTTTTCTTTTCCATTTTTAGGATCTACATAGGAAAGCGACTGGCCGCTTCCACAACTAGCACGCTGTGACGTCACCTGTAGGCCAAAAGTCTACCCAATAAGGTCACAGTCTGCCCTCTCTACCACACTAATTTGCCTCCTACCGTCTTCGTTAAGGGGCAACCATAGGACCCTGTCTGTCTGTACCTCTGTCTCTGTTCAAATACGTGTCTTCCCAGCAGCACTCCGCCAGTCTGTCGTTCTGTCGGTCTGTGCATGTCCTAGGGCCTGAGGAGCGGATGGATGTCAACCAAAGTGTCAGTCTGAGGTCACTTTTACTCTCCCAAAGAGTAACGCTGATCTCAACTAGCTGAAGTGTCATCAGAGAGAAGAGATTGCTCCGACACGAGAAGAGAAGGAGAGTTTCACACGGCTAGATCAATAAATCCCTTTGATAGGTGGAGATGAAAACAGTTAGATGGGAACAGTGTGCAATGTGTGCCGACAGAATGAGAAAGATAATATGTGGTAGCCTTTTCTCTCAACCTTTGAAAGAGCAAAATGTCTGTAATTTGTCAAAAGTAATGACCCTCTGTGAGACTGAGCCGCTGAGAGTGGTTCTATGCCACAATGGTTTATCTAGTAGAGAGTTTTAGTTGGCCGAGAGAATGTACAGTAGGAGTGGCTCTGGTTGTGCTTTCTGTCCCATAAACCAATTAAATATTTGACCTCAGACAAAGACAATCATGATCCCATTAAACTTCACTCCTCGAAACCTTATTGTGCCTCTCGGGATCTTTTATTCTCTCCCCTCTGCTCTCATCCTGGCGATGTTTGTCACACACATGTTCATCTCGTTTGATAAATGCGGGGAAAGTGAAGCATTTTCAGCCAGCGAAGCACAAAGATTTGCTGAAGTAAGCTTGACCCAGTAATTCATACTGTATGTGGACTGTATATTTTTTGCTTTCAGGCTCTGGTTGTCTGGGGTTTGTTTGTAGGTAGTCATAGAAAACAAAAAGGAAATATTTTTACTACCTAATGTGTTGTTAACAACATACACATGAACCACAGCATCTGTTTAGAATGAATCCCATTTGCCAGATGAAGTAAATAACCGCAAATCACACTGTCGATTCCCCTGATAAGGTCTTTCCAGGGTGTGTTTTTTATCTCCACCAGTGACGACTCGTCCTCTTGTCTAACTGAGGTCTTGCAGAAATGACATCACAGCAGCCTGTCTCTTTCCATCTGTCTTTGTCGTTCCTCACCTCACACAAGTCTTCCTTTTCTCTTTTTTTTAAACTAGCTGCTGCTTTGACCACTCAAGGATTTTGAAATTTTATGGCTTTCCCATAAACCAGAAAACCCGTTTCCTCTTAGCATCTCATGAAAATAGCTGGCCTGCATTTGGAGCGGCGGGTCTGAGAAGCACGCTGAGGTTTTTTTGCTGTGCTGCTTCGGATGTAAACGCGTCCCATTTGGTGTCCGGCCTGGTCGAGCCCAATGAGTTTATCAGCCATTAGCGGGGTGTTTGATGTGAGGGGTCCTGCTGAGCTTGTTAAGCTACTTCTAGACAACACCGGCTGACGATGCAACAACAAGGCGGCTTTGGCACAGCTCAAAACCACCTGGTTTCCATTCACAGACGACCACATGTAACACATTCACATGCATGCAACCATATGGCTTGTACACGTTTTGGCAACAGTCTTTCAGAAGATGTAATTTAGAAATGATTTCACGTGATTAGGAAATGCGCTCATCATCTTTGACTGATGTTAATCTATTTATAGTTTGCAACGTTGCAGTTTAAGTCTCGGTAAAATGGTTGACTTCCAACATATTATATTCTCATTATACTGAAATCAACAAAAACCCTCCCTATCTCGCAATGTTAAAGAAAGTGGAAAAAGATACTTGGATCAGCCGCCACACCTTGAGCTGCACCAAAATATAATCTGTTCTTCACCAACTATTACCGCATCCTTCCACCAAGTTTCGTAGTAACATGTCAAGTAGTTTTTAAGTAATCTTGCTTACAAACCAATAAACAAACTGATAGGGGTGAAAAAATAAACTCCCTGGCAGAGGTAAGGAAAAATTTGAAAAGAAAAACTATGATTTATGACAGAGGGAAATTAGTGAAAGTGTAAATGCTGTCTCATTCAACAACCTGCATTCACCACTATCCTGTGATATCATCCTGATTGTCAACATCCAACTAAAATTTCTCTCAAAAGTGGATTTAGCTGTTTGACATCTTCATTAACTTATGTCTTTTATTTCAATAACTTTTTGTCTATAGCTGTATTAGCCAACACTGCTTGTCCTTGGAAAGAGAAAAACAACAGATTAAAACCTGCCAAATTTTTTCTCACCTTGTTGGATGACGTTGTTACATCATTATTTTAAACACATCTCAGCAAATACTCTAGTGAGTTCAATTTAACCACGATCAATAGAAAATATGAGTGTTCATTAACATGAATTATCCTACAAACATTGCATTTTGGCTGTGGATTATCCCCAATTTGACCCCCACTCCTCACACCCCCCCTCCCAACCATTTACCCTCAGCTTTGGACAAACAGGCAGTCACAGGTGGGAGAGGCTGTTGTAAATCACCACGCTCTCACAGAGTTTTGTCTCCCGCTGCTGTGAACCTTAGTGAATTCTTCATAGCAGGACTGTGTGAAGATCCTCTCTTACAGTCTTAAACGCCACATGTGATTTTCCACTGACCTTTCAGATACGAGTGGAAACAGGGTGATAAGCATGAGTCTGGGCATTTGGTGTTATAAAAAAAAAAAAAAGTCCTCATGCCTCGTCCCTTGTAACAGTTGAAGGCAAAGACCGACTGTGGAAGAAATCTGTTCATTTCCTGGACTGCACTTTAGAGATCGGACATCTGTCGCTCTGGGAAATGCATTATCTCCCTGCTCCTATAGTGCGAGACAGGAAATAGAGTCCAGTTTCAAAGTGGTTGAATGTAACAAAGGAATTCAGTGAACCTGGCATGCCTTCTGTGGCGTAACACTCAAAAACAAGGTCATTTCTTTGATCCTCCATCTCAAGTAACCTCACTTTACCACATGTGGCCCACTTTCCCCGCATGAACCACCTATCATTACTACAGTAGGCTATGATTTCACAATTTGGAATGACACTTTGAATGACATAAGTTGCATAATTGAGTGCAGAAACAACCGCATGAGTGAAAAACTGTATGCATCGTAACAAGATTGATCGTCAATATTGATATCTTTTATCTTCAATAAATACAGTTTGCAGGGGGAGATCACGGTGTCTCCTCTGATGTGATTTGACACATTTATGCTGTGCACAACAAACGCCTGCCGGAAACACTCTCAGGCAGATTCTTACATTTTTCATACTCTGTCACTCTTGAGAGCACAGTGGCAAATTCGATAATGAGCCTCATATCTGACAAGGTGCCGAGGTGAGACGGAGAGAAACTACTTCCTGTGTGTACAAGAGTGGTGAGTCTTTGTTTTCTTGTTATGAGCCCAAACACGTGCATGTCATCTTGTATCTGCTGGGCCACATTACAGAACCAGGAAGAGGCATTAATTGTTTCCATGTGCGGTCCTCTCTCTCCTCCTCTTGTGCACACTCCTCTCGCTGCAGTCAGTCATGCTGGCTGAGCGCAGCGCAGACGTGGATGTAAATTGCACTGTCTGAACAAATGACCCAGTTTGCTCTCACACTCCATGTGCCTTTTCCCACCACATACGTCGGACCTCTCCAGCCCAGACGTGCTCGCGGTCTCAAAGTGCCAGAAGTATGAAGGATTAATGAGAGCACCTGGAATACGACTCAATGGAGCACAATGCAGCACTGTTCGTCCTGACAGACTGCTCACTATTGTGTAGGCGAGTTATGTCCACATGTCCTGAAGCGATTGTCTGATTCATGTTTTGCTACAAAGAATATTTTTCGAACAACTTGTACAAATGAGGAAATGGGATATATGTGTCAACATCTAGAGGAGTAGGTTTTCATAATAGCTGCTGAGCAGAAGAAACAGAGCTAAAGCTTGTAGGAATGTCAAATAGTGTCAGAAACCTCCTCCTTCCACACCTTCTGAAGTTCAGGGGTGGATTGCATCCAATAAGTGCTGTAACTTTCCGACAATTTTTCACACCAGCTTCAAGCTGTGATTGGTTCACGGCACAGAGGTGAGAAAGGAGCCGGAGGTTTAATTTCTAGCTCAAACGGTGTTTATTCACTCTTCACACATTTTCTAAAAATATGCGACATTATCCAACATTTAACGATCATCAACCGCCTTCCCTCCGTCAGTGAGTGAGTCAGCCAGCTTCTCACTCCAACTTTAAATGTGGTCCTTTGGAACAACTATGAGCACATTTTGTTTCCGCAGTGGTTGGAACATCGTACAAAACAGGGCTATGTGTCTAAAGACATGCTAGGAGCTTTGTAAGGCTGTAATGGTTGCATGTAGCAGGTAAATTTTGCCAGTTTAGGATTTTAACAGGCAAACATTTGCTAATCAGTACCTGTAGTTAGTTTTGCAGGTATAGGTGAATCCAAAATAACTGATCTCCCTGGTGGCTGGTCATACATGCTTCCCCTTCCATGTTAACAGGTGGGACATTGACAAATTTAAAAGGTCAAAGTAATCTAGTAATCCAGCCACTCGTTGAAAATAACCTTTAGATGAACCTCATGGAGGTGCTCAAGGAATACTCAGGGCTACACCAAACTAAAGCCATTTGTGTTCATCCTCTGCAGATCATGTATCTAGATAAACTTCACGGCAGTCCATTGCGTAGTTGTTGAGATATTTCATTTTGAACTAATGTGGTTGCCTGAAACTAAAGCCAGGCTGTCAAAAAAAAAAAAAGTAAGAGGAAAGAGAGAAAGGTCATTTCATGGGAAAGGTTGCATTGAGGGTGTTAGTGTGAAAAACAGAGAGATTGATTTCCAGCTAAAGTGATGGTTTACTGTCATCAGTATGAGGCGTGTAGGTGTTGGTGAAACATGCATTAGGACAGAGCGAGCTGGTGTGAGTGACTCAAGGAACAGCTGGACAGATTCAAATGGTCTGACCGTGAACTCACACTTTACACATGACAAAACCATCAGGCCTGGCTTCTAACGTGGCCTTTATTACGTAAACTTTATAACTTGCAAACTACTGTGAAATTTAGTCAGACTCCAACCACTTTGTTGTTTTTAGAAATGATACGTCCCATCGCAGTGAAGCTATTCTGGGAATACCTTTATTCATCTTTCATCAATCTACTCGTGTAATGGTAATGTTTTTCCAAGAAGGGCGCTCAGGTTTATGTTACTGTTTCCACAACTTAGGCAGGTCTGAGTGATTTTACAGAGACATATGAAGGCGAGTAATTCAGTCAGGTAAATGAAACTGAAAAATACAGCAATATGTTTCCTGTAATTTTCCCCAAATGGTTTCAAAGGATTAGAAAAATACATAACCCAGACTAATCACATTCAACTCAAATTAAATACATTTGCATTTCTAAAAAAAAATAAAAAATTATGTTCTACAATAAGCTAGAGTAAATTTTCAGATTTATTCTGTATCTATAACATTTAATGTATGATTTGTATTCATGCCTTCTATGCTGTGTCATTTCCAGGAAAGTCGACAGCTTTATCCACCATGACACTCCAATCTGGCAGGGGAGTCTGCAGTCTAAATATGCCACAGGATGTGGGTCCATTTATTAAGCGCCTACCTCGAGTTCAAAGTTATG